GATAAACACCTCCAAAGGATACCCGATCAACCAGGCTGTGACTCATACGTCAGGCTGCGAGCAGCTGCGTCCAACAGCCTGGTTGACCTGTCCAGTAACCAGGAGGCCTGGTCTACCAATGAGGTGGTAGAGGTACTTGGAATTAAGGTAGAAAAACTAAACCTAATTATTATTCTAATATATAAACCGCCAGATACAACGGTTGAGGAATTCACAGAGCAGATGCACAAAATAGAGAACATCTTTGATAACCTAGCAAACCCAGCTGCAGATATTATCTTTCTTGGAGATTTCAATTTACCAAGTCTAAGATGGAGAATGGCAAACATAAATATCATAGCAGGGAATGACCCGGGAAATAACCAACCACAGGTCAGAGAACTTTTGAGATTCTGTGACAAATTCTCACTCAGTCAACAGATTACAGAACCAACTAGGAACGAAAACACACTAGACTTGTTATTCACAAACAATGATGAACTAATCAGAGACATTACAATCTCAAATACTACATACTCAAACTATAAGCTCATTGAAGTGCGAACTAGCATAAATAACAGTAGTAGGTCTAAGAGACCCAACAAGCGAGAAGGAGTATTCAATCAATTAAATTTCAACAATAAGAGGATCGACTGGGAAAAAATAAATGTAAACCTTACAACCATTCAATGGGAGACGGTCTTAAGCGATAAAATTCCCACACAGGGAATAGCTTCAACTGACAGCTGAAGCTTACAAGGTCTGCTTCAAGCACGTGCCTGTGAGGAGGGTCAGAAAGAGGACCACTCTAGAAAGAGAACGCAGACGACTGTACAGGAGAAGGAAAAAAATAACGGAAATGCTTCGGCAGACACGACTATCACAAGAAAGGAAAATAAACCTAAACAGGGAGATCGAAAAAATAGAACAAACGTTGAAGCGATCATATGAGTCTGAGGAAATGGAATGGGAACAGAAAGCTATACAAGAGATAAAGAAAAATACAAAATATTTTTTACGCAAAATCAAAATAAAAAACCTCGACCAGTATTGGATCGTTAATTACAAATGATGGTATGTACACAAAGGACAACAAAGAGATTAGTGAAATTCTAAGAAGCCAGTATGAGGCTATGTTCAGCACACCAATAAACATGAAAGTTGATGACCCAGACAGCTTCTTTATGAATGACATTCAAGCTGCAGATAATATAACGGATATTAACATGAACTCGAAGACATTGTAAGAGAAATTGACAATATGCCCATGCACTCAGCTCCTGGGCCTGACTCATGGAATTCAATATTCATAAAGAAATGTAAAGTACCAATAGCGCGAGCACTCAGCATAATATGGAGAAAGAGCCTGGATACAGGGGAGATACCAGCTGCACTTAAATCTGCAGATATAGCTCCTCTGCACAAGGGGGGTAGTAAAGCCTTGGCAAAAAATTATAGACCAGTTGCACTAACGTCACACTTATTATGTGTTTGAAAGAGTGATTAGGAATCAAATTTCTAGTTTTATGGAAAATAATGAGCTACACAATTTAGGACAACATGGATTTAGAGCGGGCAGATCCTGCCTGTCACAGTTACTCAACCAATATGACAAAATCACAGAAGCTCTAGAAGAAAAGCAAAATGCAGATGTTGTATACACAGACTTTGCAAAGGCGTTCGACAAATGTGACCATGGGGTGATAGCACACAAAATGAGGTCACTGGGAATAACTGGTAAAGTAGGATGCTGGATACTCAATTTCCTGTCGAATAGAACACAAAGAGTAACAGTCAATTAAATCAAATAAAGTCCAAGCGCAGTTAAAAGCTCTGTACCTCAAGGTACAGTCCTTGCACCGCTACTGTTCCTTATTCTCATATCAGATATAGACAAAAATACAAGTCACAGCTTCTTGTCATCCTTTGCAGATGACACAAAAATCAGTATGAAAATTACCTCTGCTGAAGACGTTGAAAAACTACAAGCAGATATCAACAAAGTTTTCGATTGGGCAGCAGAAAATAGCATGATGTTTAACAGTGATAAATTTCAGGTATTCAGATACGGCAAAAATGAGGATCTGAAACATAATACAGGATACAAAACACAATTGAATCTGCCCATAGCAGAAAAACAGCATGTCAAGGATTTGGAATAATGATGTTGGACGATCTAACGTTTAGGGAGCATAACCAAGCAAATATTGCGTCGGCCAGAAAAATGATAGGATGGAGTACGAGAAGTTTCAAATCCAGGGATCCCATCATAATGGGTGTACTCTTCAAGTCACTTGTGTTGTCCCATCTTGAGTACTGCTCAGTACTAACTTCCCCCCTTCAGAGCAAGAGAGATTGCCGAAATAGAGGGAATACAGAGAACATATACGGCACGCATAGACGAGATAAAACACCTAAATTATTGGGATCGTCTCAAAGCTCTCCAAATGTACTCTCTAGAAAGGAGACGAGAGAGATACCAAATAATATACACATGGAAAATACTGGAGGGCCAGGTCCCTAATCTACACAGTAAAATAACAACGTACTGGAGTGAACGATATGGAAGAAAATGCAGAATAGAACCAGTGAAGAGCAGAGGTGCCATAGGCACAATCAGAGAACACTGTATAAACATCAGAGGTCCGTGGTTGTTCAACGTTCTACCAGCGACTATAAGAAATATTGCCGGAACAACCGTGGACATCTTCAAGAGAAAACTAGACTGTTTCCTCCAAGGAGTGCCGGCCCAACCGGGCTGTGGTGGGTATGTGGGCCTGTGGGCCGCTCCAAGCAACAGCCTGGTGGACCAAACTCTCACAAGTCAAGCCTGGCCTCGGGCTGGGCTTGGGGGGGGGGGGGTAGAAGAACTCCCAGAACCCCCAGAACCCCATCAAGCAGGTATCAAGCAGGTCGATGACCAGGCCGCAGGGATGCTAAGACCCGGAAGCACCTCAAGGTAACCTCAAGGTATGGTGAAGGGGGACTGGATGGATGGTGCCGGGACTGGATGGATGGATGGATGGATGGATGGTGGGGGAATGGTATGGATGGATGGATGGTGAAGGGGGACTGGATAGATGGATGAGGGGGGTAAGTAGATGGATGAGTGGTGGGGGAACTGGATGGAGGAGGGGGATTGGATAGATGGTGGAGAGAACCTCCATCCCCCACACTGCATCCTCCCTGCTACCCCCATCCCATCACTGGACCCTCCCCGCTACCTCCATTCCCCCCCCCCCACACAGCCCCCTCCCCTCTACCCCCATACCGCCACTGGACCCTCCCCACCACCTCCACCCCCTCACTGCCCCCTCCCCCCCCTCACTGCCCCCTCCCCCAGCTGTACCCTCCCAACCACATCTGGATCTTATTAATACAGAATACTTCCTTCCTACCAACTGGTGGATCGGAGGTCCACTGCCTGAGACTGCTGCCTGATTATTATACTCGGGTTGTTTACTGACTGTGAAAGCCTGATTGACTGTAAATGGCTGAATGACTGTAAATGCCTAACTGGTTGCTACAACAACTGTGAATGCTTGAAATGCATGACTGACTTGTGACTGTAAGTGACTGGTTCTGACTGGCTGCCACATAACAGAGGCAGTGAAATGTTTGAAAGGAAAATTGGAACCAGTGATGCAGATATGAATGCGCGAGCAGGGGCGGTCTCGCCTCCCCCTCCCCCTCCTCTTCCTCACCCTCCCTATGCACCAACACTGCTCCTCCCTTCCTTCTCACTGTCTCCCATACACCAACAAAGAGTCTTCAGTGCAGTTAAATGTTCACTTATTTTATTTATGGTTTATATTTATACCTGATTGTTTTTTGTGTGAAAAATATGAGTAGTATTCTGTATAAAATGCATTTTTAAGTTAATATTTTTGGAGGGTGTGGAGTTTACATTATGTCTTATGGCTAAATTCATTGGTTGACGAATTTTTGGATGATGATGTGTCTCTGGGAACGGATTACGATCGTGAACAAAGGTACCACTGTACTGTGTGCTGGTCTCGCTGCGGTTTTTAGCAACATGTCTTGAGTCGACATTCATGCATGGGGGGAGGGGGGGGGGTTGGAGGTTGAACAGGGTCTTGGCTGCGAGGTATCATGTGAACATTCAGGTTCCTTCCCGGCTGTGTGTGGCTTTGGGGCACCTGTTGTGGCTGTCTCTCTCTTCCTTGTCTTGAGACCTGTGGTGCTGCCGCCTCCCAGGTAAGTCCCTCCTTTTACTTATCTTTGGGTAGTTAGCTTCAGGGAGCCGACGGGGCTCCCAACAGAAAACAGCGTTGAATATAATGAAATGCCATTTTCTTAGTGAGCCTGGAGGCTCCCTGACACCTTCCCTCTATCTGGTCAGTGGTTTTCATCATTCAAGAACTAGAATGGTGGGCTGCCTGCTACCCCCTTCCCCTTCCTACCACCCATTTTCTGGATGAGCCTATAGTATGACTACCGAGTTCCTTGTCCAAAACTCGGGAAGGAATCGCACCGCAAATGGTGTTTCATTACATTCAACACTGGATTTTTCACTCTCCCCGGAACATTTGTTTTATATCACCTATTTTTCAAATTCACCACACATTTAAATATCTTGGGACACCACTCATAGTCATCAACCTTTAATACAATACTTAGGCACTAGAAATATCCTTTAGCTCCTCTGATGTAGCAGTGTGTGTAATTACCTAAGTGTAGTTACAGGATGAGAGCTATGCTTGTTGTGTCCCGTCTTCCCAGTACTCTTTGTCATGTAACGCTTTGAAACTACTGACAGTTTTGGCCTCCACTACCTTCTCACTTAGCTTGTTCCAACCATCTACCACTCTGTTTACAAAAGAAAACTTTCTAATATTTTTCTGGCATGTGTGGGGGTGACTCTGAACCCCCCACTGGGAATAAGAGCCTCAAGTTTGAGCCATTGCAGTATTGTGCTTGCTCAGAAAGTATTTAACATTCATTATAAAGTGAATTTGTAACATTTGACAGATTTAATCAAATGTTCTGCTTTCTTTTAGATCTGAAAGGCAAATTCAAGAGGATGTGTCCACAGTGCATGACTGCCGTTCATGTTCGAATTCATGTCTGTGCTTGTGGACACAGCTTTCTTAAGGAAAAACTGGAAGTTGACAAGAAAAAGGAGGCCCATCAGCTGGTGATGGGGAAGAAAGCTGCCAAGAACAACACGCTCACCCGGTCATTTGCTACTCTTCAGAAACATGTACAGTACTGTAATATAATTTATTCTGTTTACAATATCATTTACCTACATAATGTACTTACATATAATTACTCTAACAGAAATAATAATAACTTTAATTCCACAAAAGTACTGTATAGAGCAGTGGTCAGTACAGTGAAGTCACAACTGATAGGTCCCGAGTAAGATTTCCATGATAGAAGTGGGATGTTTGGGCACGGTTTCTTTTTACCTAGCTGTAAATAGGTACCTGGGAGTAAGGCAACTATTGTGGATTGCATACAGCAATTGTTCTTGGGAGACCTCAATAAACTGAACAGGTTTACTGTCCCCGACAATGGGGGACCAAACCATATTCATTAGTAAACACTGAACATTATATTGAATATGTGGTATAATTTCCCAGGTAAAATGTAATGTACACAAAAATACAATAATTTACTAGGAATATTTGTGGAAGTGTAATGGAGACTAACATATTAAATAATATATTATTTCAGTGGGGAGCCCCTTTTTGCTCCTTGGAGCTATTGGATATTCGCTATACAGTATTAGTCTGGGGCTTCAGTCGATGGAGTTCTGCCTACTGGGGACCACGAGCCAAAACCTTACCCCCTCAGAGAGGCGCAAGGAGCAATGGCCTAAGGAAACCTCTTTGTACAGTGTTACCTTGGTTTTTTAATTTAATCTGTTCCCAGGGATCGAAAAAAGACCCAATTCCTTAGTACAGTGGTACCTCGGAATACGAGTTTTTCGGAATATGAGCAGGATTTGCTCAGAAAATGTGCTTCTGAAGGCGAGGGTTACTTCGGAACACGAGTTTGTTGATACGCGTACAGTTGTTTGTTGTTGTTAAAGATTTGCTACCTGGAACAAAAAGTTCCAAGTAACACGGGCTATGGTGAGCCCGTAGATAGTTATACGCGTACAGGCCGACTAGCACGTGGTGGCACGGCAATCGCGCCTCAGTTTACCAGTACCTTGCGCCCAGTGACTATCCTGCCTGAATTCTCCACAAGGATTTATAGTTTTTTGTCGGATTTTTGGTCATTTGAGCATAAAAGTTATTATATATCTCGCCATGGGCCCCAAGAAAGCCAGTGGTAAGGTTCAAACTAAGAAAATAGTTGTTAGTAGAGGATGTCCCTTCTTCATTAAGAAAAATGTGTGAATTATGGGAAGAACTGCAAAGTTTTGTTGAAAAAACTCGCCCAGATAAAGCTGTAGCAGGCCGTTGCATTGACCTTTTAAATGACAAAGTGATGTCTTACTACAGACAAGTGTTAAAATGTAGGGAAAAACAAGTGTTTTAAGACAGATTCTTAGTAAGACAAGCAAGTCTTAGTGGTATGCAGGCAAAACGTGCCAGTGTGTGCACACCAGTGAAGTCCTCACTGCCTGATGTTATAATGGAAGGGGACTCCCCCTTCCAAACAGTAACACCTCTTCCTCCCTCCTCCTCACCATCTTCCATACACCAACAGCATTCATCAGCAAGGGTAAGTAATAACTTGAACATAGTTTTGTAGGTTTATTTAGATGAATTAGGTATAAAATTTAGTTTGAAGTGAGGTTTTTGGGTAGTCGGGAACGGATTAATTCATTTCCCATTATTTCTTATGGGGAAATTAGCTTCGGAATACGAGTTTTCGGAATACGAGCTGTCTCCAGGAACGGATTAAAATCTTAAACAGAGGTACCACTGTATTTATCCAGCTGGCTCAGCTTTTTCTTGTGAGGCTGGGGCTTTGGGGGGATGGCTCGGCTGCCGGGTCCTGCTGTAGAGGTTCCCGGGGCTGGGGAAGGGCTGACTTATAGGCCCTTGGCTCCCATTGGATCCCGTTGGACCCCGCCAGGGCTCTCTACCCTCTAAGTGGAGCTTGCGGTTACGGGGAGTGGGTTTTTTTTCTTTCCCCCCTTTGCGTACGAGTTGTTGGGCATCGGGCCCAAGGGGGGGGGGAGGGCTGACTAAGGGGCCCTTGGGCCCCATTGGATCCCATTGGACCCCGCCAGGGCTCTCTACCCTCTGAGTGGAGCTTGCGGTTACGGGGAGTGGGTTTTTTTCTTTCCCCCCTTTGCGTACGAGTTGTTGGGCATCGGGCCCTCTCCGGGTTCGGTTCCTTGTCCCTTTGGGTCCGTCGGTTCCGTCCTGTTGGTTATTACCTAAGTGTTATTACCTAAGTGTAGTTACAGGATGAGAGCTACGCTCGTGGTGTCCCGTCTTCCCAGCACTCTTTGTCATATAACGCTTTGAAACTACTGACGGTCTTGGCCTCCACCACCTTCTCACTTAACTTGTTCCAACCGTCTACCACTCTATTTGCGAAGGTGAATTTTCTTATATTTCTTCGGGATCTGTGTTTAGCTAGTTTAAATCTATGACCTCTTGTTCTTGAAATTGCAGGTCTCGGGAAGTCTTCCCTGTCGATTTTATCAATTCCTGTTACTATTTTGTATGTAGTAATCATATCACCTCTTTTTCTTCTGTCTTCTAGTTTTGGCATATTTAATGCTTCTAACCTCTCCTCGTAGCTCTTGCCCTTCAGTTCTGGGAGCCACTTAGTAGCATGTCTTTGCACCTTTTCCAGTTTGTTGATGTGCTTCTTAAGATATGGGCACCACACAACAGCTGCATATTCTAGCTTTGGCCTAACAAAAGTCATGAACAATTTCTTTAGTATATCGCCATCCATGTATTTAAATGCAATTCTGAAGTTAGAAAGCATAGCATAGGCTCCTTGCACAATATTCTTTATGTGGTCCTCAGGTGATAGTTTTCTATCTAGAACCACTCCTAGATCTCTTTCTTTATCAGAATTCTTTAAAGATTTCTCACATAATATATAGGTTGTGTGGGGTCTATGTTCTCCTATTCCACATTCCATAACATGACATTTATTAACATTAAATTCCATTTGCCAAGTGGTGCTCCATATACTTATTTTGTCCAGGTCTTTTTGAAGGGCATGACAGTCATCTAAATTTCTTATCCTTCCTATTATCTTAGCATCATCAGCAAACATGTTCATATAATTCTGTATACCAACTGGTAGATCATTTATGTACACAATAAACATCACTGGTGCAAGAACTGAACCCTGTGGTACTCCACTTGTGACATTTCTCCATTCCGATACATTGCCTCTGATTACTGCCCTCATTTTTGTATCAGTCAGAAAATTTTTCATCCATGATAGAAGCTTACCTGTCACCCCTCCAATATTTTCCAGTTTCCAGAACAACCTCTTATGTGGAACTCTGTCAAAAGCCTTTTTTAGTTCCAGATAGATGCAGTCAACCCAACCATCTCTTTCCTGTAATATCTCTGTGGCTCGATCATAGAAACTGAGTAAATTCGATACACAGGATCTTCCAGATCGAAAACCATACTGTCTGTCTGATATTATATCATTTCTCTCTAGGTGTTCTACCCATTTAGTTTTGATTAGTTTTTCCAATACTTTCACTATTACACTTGTCAATGATACAGGTCTATAATTGAGGGGGTCTTCCCTGCTGCCACTTTTGTAGATTGGAACTATGTTAGCCTGTTTCCACCCGTCTGCTACGATTCCTGTACACAGGGATGCCTGAAAGATCAGGTGAAGTGGAATGCTGAGCTCAGATGCACATTCTCTCAGAACCCATGGTGAAACGCCATCTGGGCCAGCTGCTTTGTTCTTACCGAGCTCCTTGAGCATTTTTTCCACTTCGTCTCTAGACACCTCTATGTGTTCTATGTTGTTCTCTGGAATTCTTATTGTATCTGGTTCCCTGTGGGTCCTCTTCTCTGTTTTCTCACCCTTCTTCTCTGGGATAGGACTTCTCCGTAATGTCGAGGTCATGTTCCCCTCGTATCGGGGTTCTGCATGACATTTGGTCTCGGGTGCGACTGTGCCTTTATGAGCCTTCATGATTTTGTGCTTGCTTCTGTCGGATCTCGAAGGTTCGGGAAGGTCTTCAATTCTTCCCGTATTATTGCAACGTTTGTCGTCTTCTGATGAGACTTCCTCCAGTCCTTTCTAGGACTCGTTGGTCCTCTTCCGTACTTCTTCTTGGTTTTCGGTAGTCTTGTTCTTTTGTAATTATATCTTCTCTCCGTGTTCTGTCTCGACACTGCTAATATTCCTTAAATTCTCATAGTTGGAGCCATCCCCGCCAGGTGGGTTGTGCGGTTTGGACCTCATGTGTCCTGCATATGCGCCGTGGGAGTTTTTATTTATGGACGGTGTACACAGGTGTTGGTGTTCCGCGTCCTTTTTTTCTTGGGTGCTTTGCCTCTCTCGCTCCTCTTATCTCTCCAATCCAAGCCCCGTAGATACTGGGGGTGTTCTGGATTACCAATATGAGAAGGATGCCTAGTTTTTCTCTACCTACGGGTGTGGGGCGCCACATTCCACCCTTCCTTGCTCTTCTGCACGTGCGGCTCTGGCCTTGTTCCACTAGCGGTGCTCCCAGAATATTCTCGGCTCTGATGAGTCGTGACACGTTAGTGCCTATGCTCTGCAGGTGAGTTTATGCAGTCGGCTACCTCTTTCAGTCAGGCGCTGGTTCATGGTTTTTGGATGAGTGTTGGGGATTAGTTGTGGTGTTTTGTTTGGCCCTGGTTGATTACCTGGTTGATGGGGTTCTGGGAGTTCTTCTACTCCCCAAGCCCGGCCCGAGGCCAGGCTTGACTTGTGAGAGTTTGGTCCACTAGGCTGTTGCTTGGAGCGGCCCGCAGGCCCACACACCCACCACAGCCCGGTTGGTCTGGCACTCCTTGGAGGAATAAATCTAGTTTCATCTTGATGATGTCCACGGTTGTTCCGGCAATATTTCTTATGCTTGCTGGGAGGACGTTGAACAACCGCGGACCTCTGATGTTTATATACAGTGTTCTCTGATTGTGCCTATGGCACCTCTGCTCTTCACTGGTTCTATTCTGCATTTTCTTCCATATCGTTCACTCCAGTACGTTGTTATTTTATTGTGTAGATTTGGTACTTGGCCCTCCAGTATCTTCCAGGTGTATATTATTT